TGCCTGCCTGCCTGCCTGCCTGCCTGCCTGCCTGCCTGCCTGCTTGCTTGCTTGCTTGCACAGCTCCATGTTAGACATTCGCAGAAGAGGCTCATCACACCGAGAGGGTGCTGGACCGCTATTCTAGCTTGCCTCTTGGGTCAAGTTGATCATCTACCCATCCTCAACCAAATCATCCAACCCACTCATCACACAACGAAACCAGTCATCCAACCCGCGTTGGCAGAAACGAGGTGCTTCCCTGCGTCCGAAACTACGCCCGCGACGCCCCCACCAACCCAGCGGTCGCCCCCATCGGGGCTCCCCTACGCGGATGGGACTGGAGACCAAGCCACTGGTCTCCACCAAGCCCTTCAGCAGCGTTCCGCGTGTTCGCCGGCTGTGTCGCTGCGTGAAGTTGCGCAACCGACGTGGGGGTTGGGTGTCCGCTCGTTCTGGAAAAAGGCTCGGTGGGGTTCCTCTTTTACAGCGGGTAGACCTGGTCTGTTCGGGAATCTCAAACCAGAGGAAGGGAAGAGATCTCACCGACCTGTGGCTGTGATATAGTTAGGGCAGTCATGGGCAGTCCACTACAAAAGATGACTGGGGGCCACAGACATGTGGGAAAACAACATGGAACAAAGCGGCCTCCTTCAAGTTTATTCCTATCGAAAGGGCCTGTGTTTCATACCCAGACCAATGTATATGCCATATAGCTGCCTACATTTGGGAGGTTGGGGGTCAATGTATGCATACCTGGATCTTCAAACGGCACAATTGTTGCATAGGTTTTTGTGAAAAGACGCCGTAATCAAACACAATTGCCGGTTTAGGGGTTGCAAACATGTGCTCAAAATCCACGGATGGGCAAAGACGCCGCGCCTTAAAACGCCGTTTGGAAGCCTCAAAAACGCCCTTTCTTTTTGGTGTTTGCCGGTTTCCGCTGGTCACAACCCAAAATGCCGTTTTTGGAACGGACAAAGAAAACATGTTCGTACCGGCAAAAATGGTTTTGCATTTGGGCCTTTTCCTCTTGGCGTTTCAGTTCGATCCAGGTACTGATCCATACATGGTGCAGGTCGATCCTGGTGCTTGATCGACGGGGCACAGCCGGATTCTCCGATCGTTGAGACCGGACAGCCCCGTCCGATCGAAGCAGCTGAAGCGCGCAGCTTCAGCTGGGTGACATTGAGACGCGTTTGATAGCTGGAAGCTGGAAGTGGTGGTCTACTGACTGTGGTAAGTTAAGTAATGTTACTGTAAGTATATGGCCTAATTAACTACATAGAGTTCTTTAAGAGACTCTTCAATAGCTCCTATGTTGCTCCAAAAAGTGCTTCCTGATCTACAAATATCTACAAGAAATCCAGTCCATCCTCTCCATGTCCATCCTCTCCATGTCCATCCTCCGATCCTCTCCATCCGTGGACGAGGCGCTGTTTCATTGACCCCCAGTGGGACGTGGCTCAGGGCGTAGTGAAGCTCAAAGGCCGTGGCCCCTGCGGCCTGGCACGGGTCCGGCGGGGCGACGGTCCGTTGGGAGGTCGGTCTTGTTCAGTGGGAGAAGATGCTATAGTTGTGAAAGGTATCATATTGCAGTTTGTGTTTGCTTCCTTCTGTTCTATCTTTGTCTTCCAAAATGCACGACGAGGGAGGATATCAAAAAAGAAGATCCCGTCTTCCGGGGAGAACGCACACCGCAGGTTGCTCTTGAAGAGTCATCGAAGAGTCTTGAGTGCCCAGGTTTTTTGAAGGCGCTACAACTTCTAGTAACAAGTGCATCGCTTCTAGTAAGTGCCTTACTACTAGGAACAATGTTTGCTAGTAGAAACAATAAATAGAATTTAATTAGAATCCAATTAAAATAAGCAAACAATAGTGTTGAGTGCCCAAGTGTTTTTCCTAGTAGCGTCCTTGCTCCTAGTAGCGATGCCCTTTGTTCCTAGTAGCGATGCCAGGAGCCCCTAGTAGCATCTTGTTGCTATAGTAGCGATACTTCTTAACTAAACAATTGTTCAATCATTATGTCCTGTTCCCTGCTTACACGGACTCTCCGTGCCATGCCCACAGCTGCAACCTGTTGGAAGTTCTTGTAGTTGGCAAAGTTCAATGGGCAAAGCAAGAAGGACCTCAAGCGCCACGGCAAACCGCGGGTTTTGCAGGTCCGGGCGAGCAACGCAACCTCAGTTTGAGAAGAGTCTAGCAAATATGACTTCATACTGGCGATGATCACTCTGTAATTCTTTCTTTCCCAGATCGATGAAATCCGACATCCAGGATCACCTAAGTACACCACGAGTACGACAATGTCAAACTGGTCACACCTGTCTCCATCTCATCACATCACCACCGTCTAGCCTTCCAGCCTCGAGCCTCTGGGCTACCCTGCGTATTCACATACTTCAGCCTTGATGAGGAGAAGAAGGAGTAATTCGCCTCCTGAGCAGATCTGTGAACACTCTCCCGGTCTCCCCTCCGGCCGCCGAGGTCGAATCCCGTCCTGGACGGAGCGCCAGGCGCAGTACCAGTGGTTGAACCTCGGTCAGCCGTTGGTCGAGAACGCTGGGGTTCGGCTGCTGAAAGGCCGCGGCTCGGCTCCGCGAAAGGTTCCGATTTGTTGGGCAGAAAGGTTGGTGTCGCGCTCCCGGTCTCTCGCTGTTCCCTGGTTCGAATCAGTGAAGCGGAAGGGAGGAGAGAAGCTTAGAGAGTGCTCGAGAGTGCCATCTGGCGGGTTCGGAGAGCAGATCAAGAGCAGATTTGTTGGTATTCGCTCCAGCTCGAAGCTGGAGGCTCTGCATGGGGTTGGTCTCACGATGTTGCTATGAGAAAAGTGCGTTGCTATCAGGTGGAGTGAAGCTGGCCTCTTGTGGCTGGCCTCTCTAGGCTGGCCTTTTGGTCCTTGTTCTACTGTTCTACCCCAGGAACACTGGAAAACCATGGAAAACCTAAGAGTTTTTTTTTGAGAGTCACCCGGATCAGATCCAATCCCTCCAAGTCCGATATCAACCGACGGCTCTCATGTTCGGACTGAGGTCGGTCGGAGCTGTGTCATCCTGTTTTGTTGTCATTTTTCAGATGATTCGACAGGTGGAGGGGCTAGGTATGACTTCAAAACCGGTACAAGAAATACAAGAAACAGCAACTGTCACCAAGTCGTCTGAAAAACCCAGGTTTTTGTTGTTTCCACATGTCCCGACCCAAACCGGGTCTCCTTTTCACAATCGACGTCGGGGACTGGGACGACCCGCACGGCGTGCGAAAAGCGGCACGGCGCACCGCAGGGCGCTCCGGACGTACTCATCAGCGTGGTCTCTCCCGGCACCTCGATCAGAACCTCAGGCAGAAAGGTGCTTTTTCTCGGGCAAACTGATGGAAGATCAAGGAAGATCAGGTCTTTCATCTTTCAAACATGAACATGGTCGATGTGCAGGAAAGGCACTGGTCAAATGGAAAATTACTTAAAGATGCCATTAGCTGGAATTTCAGGTCAGGTCTTTGAAGTCTGGAAGGCTTTGAAGCACAAGTGGAATAGCAGCAAAGCACTAGTCACTGGTGGAAAGAAAACAAAGACCAGCTCACTGAATTTGGGGCCGGCGATGAAGGATCTCAAATTGCTCACATGATTAGCCTATACAGATCACCTAGACCTCATGTCATAAGACCAAACCCGACTCAATGAGGTGTTCAGGACCAGGTTTTACTGGGCCAGACTGGACCTGTTTTTTTTCGGGGTATATAAGTCATTAAAGGGACATGTGTGTCAGGCCCCATGTGATCTGAGTTTGATCACATGTCTGTCCCCGTCCTACCCTCCACAGGGTCTGAAGTCTTCCAACTCCTTGCGGAATGGCTTTGAGATTCGGAGTTTTCTGCGGAAAACCCAGGGTTTTTCCAGTGTTCCTCCATTTCCATGGGCTCTTGGACCGCAAGAAATGGCTAACGTCGCTTGCCGAAACACCAATTGAAGTGTCACCACCGCCCTTGTTACAGCCCTCACGATCACTGGCGCCACCTGCTGAGTTCCTTGCATCTAAGGAAGTGCCCGTGAGCATCTCCTGGGAGATACCGACCAAACGGTGGAGACATGATGACACTTTGGCGACCCCACACAGCAGATGAAACCCCGATCAACACCCGGAGCCGAGTGGCTCGATCTTTGGGATAAATATGGATGTTCGGAATATGGGGTGTTTAATGGTTTTCATAGCTACTATATATACTCACTTCTGAGTATGGTTGGTCATCTTGTAAAGCTAGTCATACTAGCTTTGCTAATGGTTCTCAAGTTGCCTTTGCAAAGGGACGAGTTGTGTATTCCCAACTGAAGATGAGATATGTGTGCGTGTCTCACAGGGCTTTGGTGATTCCCAGATCAACCATGGACTGGAGTACTGATCCACGCATCCACGCATGTGCAGCTCGGGAACTGATCCCCGACTATTGAGGGCTATTATTAATGTTCTTGTAATATAATATACCTTGATTGGTATCGGTCTAGAATTGTCTCATGCATAACCAGTGG